CACCGACCGAATTTAGGCGCCGAATTTAAGCTTCAGAATTTAAGCTTCAGGGGGGGACGAAACCGGGACCCACTTCCCCGGGTCCCTGTATATATATATATATGTATATGTATACTTATATACTATAGCCCTGTACACAAAACCCAAATACCCCACCGTAGTCTTGAACTGAAGTAGCCCAAAAAAGTCATGTCAACTGCAGCACCTGTTGACAACAAGCTTGTGCTGGCTCGACTAGAAGTTGTGCAAGTTCTACGACCAAGGCGGATACTCATGTAAGCTTCGACGCTTCGACGCCTTTGTTCAAGACCCTGACTGGGAGGACACTTATTGTAAGGATCCCCAGAAGCTGCAAAGATGGCGCTGCTGAGGCACTCCGAGGGTTTCACCCTGGACGAGCTGCAGGAGACGAAGTATGCGTCCGGATGCGTCCATCGTGCCACACATCAAGAAGAGTCTATGAGGCTTTAGGCTTGAGGGGTTGCGAATAGTCTTCGATACAGGGATTTGGGTGCCGCATTGCCCTTTGACATCTAAGCCCTGTCCTCTACCATTCCTTGGTACCAGTAGCACTCTCCTAAGTAAGCCTGGTACATGTCAAGCTTTGCTGTATGATTGGGTCGACCCCCTGTGACCAACAGGAGCTCACTGCGGCCTTCGTCGAGCAGACAGGGACAAATGGGAAGATGGACGACAGGAGCCTCAGACTTTCTGACTGTCTGCATGCAGGCTTTAGCCTTCCGTCACGATCCTGGTGTGCACAGTGCCAGGCCCGTGGGAGTCGAAAAGTCTATTCAGAGGTCGACAGGCTCTCGAGCCTCCCACCGGATCGCCGCAGGGCCTCGGCTGAGGCCTTCTCTCCAATCATCATCAGCAGTGACATGACAACAACAATCAGCACTTGCTATCTTCATTCTGATCATCATACCGTGGTGCAATTAGGAACTGAAGCTGTTCTGGTTGATGGCAGCGCTGCTTAACTTGATCTAACAGTCACCAAATCAGATTCCGGTTGCAATGTTACTGCACCGTTGCCACGATTACTTTCACGCCTAACACAGCTCTGCCTTTGCAGGACGCTTCCGGCAGACAGACTGCAACACCTGCTGATCAGCTTCTTCGGGCTTTTTCGCGGCAGATGATCTTGTCTTGGACGTTTTGAGTGTCAACAGGTTCGAGCATCGGAAAGGCTGGCGTAACAAGTCTCACGATCACGGCCCTATGGCCTGCGACCGAAGTAGGGGATTGTTACAGCATACTGTAGAATGTTATGTTATTCTATAGTATACTAGGACATCATCGTTTTACAGCATGCTATTGTAGTGTGTGATTCAGGTTCAGACTTAGATGCCGAAGGCTGCGCTTGCACATCAACATCGCAGCAGCCTGTCAAGACAAACAACGATGAGGGTCGCAATCATGATCATGGCAGTATCACAAGAAGATTGGGCAAGCTTGCCGAAAAGCATCAACAAGACTTCATGCTGCAAAGCAAGGCCACGGGCGACTCAGTTTTCCACCGAACTGCAGGAGGACGGTGGGCTTGGAGGTCTTGCATGCGAAAGGGGCAGGCAAAGACTTTACGGAGCGGGTTCTTGGGGCTCGTAGGGTTCAGGTTTTCGGACTTGGGTTGTAGCTATCGTTCGGTGTTATCTTTGCTGTCACCCGAGGACTCTTGCAGCTGTGTTTCTTGCGGTTGATTGTCGTTTCATTAAATCTCATGGTAGGGCCGTCGTCAAACCATCTGACTGTCTCTAGTTTTCACCCAATAGCCCCTGCGCAGGAGATCATCAGATCGGGCCGGCGGAAGAGCAACATGGATCCACAGGGTGCCTCTTCCGGTCAGCAAGGGCAAAAAGCTTCGGTTGCTTCTTGACTGGACGCGATGGGTGCTGCCTTACAGGTAACTAGAATCTAACTAGAACGCTTCCGGGGGAAACTGGAAGTCAAAGGACTTCAGGATAATGCTAACAGTTATGATAACTATGAGCTGTTCTACCTGCAATGGCCATTTCCCGAAACCTCTCCCATCTCGCCGTGCCAGACAGAAAGCCCTGACGAGAAGAAGTCCATACATTCCCCAAGTCTGAAACCGAAGGGATTCGGACAGAGCCTGGGTTAGTAGTCTCCTAGCTGACTCGCCACAAGCCGGACAGGTGACAAGGGCCCACCACCGGCTCTAACTTTTCAAGAGGCGGTGCTGTGGGCCCGGCGTTTCCGGGAGAGGATGTTCACGAGTTATCGCCCGGGCCTTGAAGGGATCTAGGCTTCCGGACTACGATGAGCAGGGGAGTGGAACCATGAGGTCACGAACTCGGGCGGGGGTGGTTGCAGGTATGTATAGATATGACCTGTATGTATGTATGTATGTATGTATGTATGTATGTATGTATGTATATATATATATATATGTATGTATGTATGTATGTATATATATATATATAGAAACGCACATAAATACATGTGTATGGGATGGATCGAGGGATGGATGGATGGATGGATGTGATCAAACATATAAGCAGGGTGGTAGCACTGTGGGTTTCTAGATCTTGCACATGCATGTTCGTTCGGCATATCGTTTCTTAAACTTGGCTCAGGCCAGCAGGTGAAAGGCAGAACACCAGCAAACAAGCAAGCTGTTCTTGACAATACTAACAATAATAACAGTACTAACAGTAATAGCAATATTAATAATAATAAGAATAATAACAATAATATTGCTAATCCTTGCCCAGGGATTCGGAGTGTTGGGGTTGTCTTGGAGTGTGGCCCTGGTGTGTTCTTCTACGGGTCTTCTCGTTGGTCTTTCCCTGTTTGGTGTCTACGCTGGCATACTAAGACATACTACTTCACCTATGTATGTATCTAGTTGATTTTACGATGTATACATATATATATATACACACACACAGAGAGTGTGTATATGTGCACATATGCATATATATTTATATATATATATATATTTATATTTATATTTATTTATTTATATTTGTTTATTTAGTTATATACACACACATGTGTTTGTGGCAAAACTCTCCGGAACAAAGCAAGCAAAGGTGATGTCTTCGACAAGTTTGACGACGACGGAAACGACAGCATCGATCTTCGGGAGATCAAGAATGCTGCTGGGTATAAGTAGAAGTATTCGATCTTTTGACCAGAAATCCCGTTTTGCCAGAACCCAGACTCCAGAATTAGTGTAAGATTCGTGTGAAGCCTGAAGCACAATAGAAGCTACATGCAGCACCTCCCAACTCCCATATTTGTTACATTCCCTTGGGCCAACCATACATCTGGCAGCAACCGGATTCTGGAGTCATACTGCACAAAGTTTCTTGTCTACAGCGTAGTGTTGCATCACGAGCATATTCTCAGATTCTTGCATGAATGGATGCCTGCTTGAATTCACGTGAACATATATTCTTACTTCAGGACCCTGGACAGGACATATGCGCAAGCTTTCACTATGAAATCGTGGGATTCCGGGTTATCCTTCCCTTATTGGGCTGTAAGGCACACACTCTCCATGCAGGTGTGTATATGTCGCTCTCGTGTTCACCGGTATGTATGTTGTGTTCCAAATCTTTCGGACACTGACGCGCTCAGGTCATCCGCGAGTTAGGCTTCACGATCCCGCAGAAGACTGTCCACGAACTGATTGTGGAGGCGAAAGGGTTCAGAGCTTCTGAGTGTCGATGACACTTCGGGCTGCAGTGCTGGGCTCCGCAGCAACCTGACGTTCAGCCTTTGCCTTGCTTGTTCTCTGCTTGTTCTGTGCGAATCGACATAGCTGGCGTGCGGCCTACATGGGCGTTTATCTCCAAGGAGCATCTGGGTAGCATGGCATGCTCAGGTATCCAGAGAGAACGAGCTTCTTAGGAGTGTCGCAGATTTGATAAGAGGTGGGGCAGGGAAGTTGGACATGCAGAGCACTGGGGATACTTTGAGGCAGTGAACGATGGGAGCTCCGGCCTTGCTGCATGTCAGGCCAGAAGGCGTGGAGACATCCTGAACAGTGACCTGGACGGGCTGGACTACGACAGTTCCTGGTCTGCATCAGTGCGCTCGACTGCATGCTGCAAGCTGGAGAAGGGCCCGGCAGTTGCATCCAACTTTCAAAGGCACTCCCAGGGTAGCAGCGGCAGACACACAGTGCAAAGTACAGATTTCCATCGTGGCTTCGGGGATAGCAATTGTCTATAATAGATAGATACATATATATATATATACACACACATACAAACTCCTAATAAACATGGGAATTAAATCATATATGCTAGTTATATATATATATATCTTTAAATAAAAAGAGAGACAGAGAAGTGCAGCGAGCGTGGGCCGTTACCAAGGCTTCGTGCATTTCATGCAGCTCCTCAATGAGAATGATGGCTTCAACAAGCAGGCCACAGTGTGAACTCCTCAGCAGCTGCCCCAAGCGGAACAGCACAAAATGCGGTGACAGAATTCCTAGAGCAATCACAACAATACTGGTAACAATAGGCAAACAGCAGTAAACTGTTCGGAATGATGTTCATTATCATAACGACATTCAGATGCAAGGAATGATAATGTTCTACACCCCAGACTCGGTGAATCCCGAGTGTCAGCAGGAGATTGACCGAATTGTCAAGACCTTCAAGAAGTATGACAAGGCGCATGCAGGGTTCGTGATAGGATGCCATATGTACCATGTGATACTTGATTCTCTTTCATGATATTTTAGCATGTGATATGATGGCAAAAGTCGGTTCCGTTTGCTCTGCCCTGGCTTCGTCTGGGTTAGAAAAGCCTCAACCAGCAGTTTAGGGTCAAGTGGGGTCGTGTATGGCATCTTGGTTTCAGGCGAAGCCCCACTTTGGATTTGATCCCATCCGGAGGCTCCTCAAACTCGACTTGTAAGCCTCAGACGCCTGGGACGGCGAAGAGTTAATTCATCGATGCAAAGATTTCAAGCAGCAGGAAGACTCCCAGCACTGCTTGCACTGCAGTTGCTTCTTCAACTTGTGTCTGTGTTCCACTTATCGTCAAGAGTCTTATGTTCACCGGGAAGCCCGGGGAGGATAGAAGTGGCGACATCAACACCCTCGAACTCTCGGACATGATGCGGGAGCTCCCGCAACTGTGGGGCTTTGCTGATGGGTTTTCGGCCAACTCCTGTGCCGGGTTTGGCGTGTTGGGCCTTTCATCTGTATTCTTTGTCAGAGATCCAAGACTCTAAGAGTTCCAAAGTAGCAGCTCCCCAAGATCCACATGCACCTTGCCGTAACTCCCCCAAGAAGATTACAGCCTTGAAATAGAGCCTACAATAAGACCCTATAGCCTATTGTCCTTAGCAAAACCTTGTGACCCCCTTATAGAACCCTCTGCCTTATGGAACCCTTGAAGCACTTTATTAAAGCTTCAAACACCTGGCAAGGAGATGGGCCAGGCCCCATGCATCGAGGAGGCGAGAGGAGACAGACACCGTCAGCTCATTCAACTGTTTTCGTAACATCAAGATACGAATAATATTGCCGGCCCTCACTGTGGCGTCATTTATGCGTATTCTTCCCCAAAATATGTGGTTTTTGCGCTAGAAGTACAGAGAATGCATGCGCCCAGCGCAGCTGGAAAATGAATTCCCCGATGCTGCAAGTCGGGTCCGAGCGTCCTAGTCTTTACACAAGAGCCTCGTGGCACAGCTCTCCCGCTGTTGTGCAGTGACTTCTTTTCGCTGACGTGCTATTATGTGGAGGTTCGTGTGAGGCCCATGGACCACTTGTTGCTCTCGAAATCTTGAATCGGGCCAAACAGTTCGATGTTCGGGTGTTCTTCTGGAACTCGCAGGCTGCCGGGGGTAAGCAAACGTCGACTGCTCCCGAGACGCGCCAGTGCTTGCGGGAATGCACTTTCGCGCTGGTCCTCGCCAGTACTTGGGGGGAAAGCATTTTCCCAGTCTCCTGGTGGTCGGCTGGTTGTCGTAGTCGTGGTGGTCGTCGTGGTGGTCTTTCACTGTTTCGGATCTTCGCGGGCACAAGTATTCTGAGTACTACTGTTTCTACTTTTGTTGCTGTTATTGCTATGATCTACTCTCTGCTTCTGCATGTTTGCAATTGCTTGCGTTGCTTATCACCGCGGCGGAAAGGATTTGCCGGTGGAGGAGTTGAGAATTTGGGTCTCAGGCTGATTTGTCTCGCCGTCACGGTGTGACGAGTACTGTTGTCTATACACCTACACCCTAAACCCTAAAACCTAATGCCCTAATGCCCTAAACGAAACGTCGACCTCCGGACCCATTGAACACCAACACCTAACATCTTGAACCTTAAGATGGGGACGGTTTTCTGGAAGCCCAGCTGCATCCGGAGCTCTTGCCCCACTTCGACCTCTAATCGGCCGAACTGTTGCATGAATGTAAAGCTCACAAGCTCACAGGGTTTAGAAGGCTTTCACTTTTTCGACCGAAGCTTGGTCCAGCGACAGAGGTAGGTCAATGAAGCTTTCGATACTATGGGTGGGAAACAGGTTCGCACACTGCTGTCCGCCGTGGACATCAACGGTAACGGAGTCCTAGACGAGCGAGCTGCTTCGCTGGCAAGATCGGGTGAGTTCTGTCAGTTGAGAGCAGAAGAATTTCGGGCTCTGGTCTCCCGGATTTGGCGTGGTGCGTTGAAGTCGTGTAGGTTTCAAGCGCTGCCAGAAGCGAAGATGAGGTTTCTCCATGGGGACTTGCATTGTACACATGCGGAAAACCCCAAACGGAGCACCAAAGTGCAATGAAAGTTCTGAACCTGAACCATCACCAGCTAAGGAGTTTATTCGATTCTCCCGGCTCTTCCGGGAAAAGCAGCTGGCGCGAGCCAAGACGCTGGTCTGGTTTCGGGTCTGTACACCGGGGCTTGCATTGGTTTCGGATCTGCTCTCCCATCAAGGTTTGAGCTGTGGACTTTCATTGTGTGAAGAAATTTTGCACGGGCCTTCATCCCAAGCCGGTCCCGCCAAGCACCTCAGCATAGCCAGCAGAGTGTTGTGCTGCTCCAAAGTCTTCAGCTCAACCCTCGCCAAAGCCTTCTGGATCCGGCAAAAAAGCCCATTGCTGTCCCCAAGCTCCAAGCCGAAAAGCCCTGAGACTCTAAGGATGGTGTTTATGAATCACGCAGACCGGCAGCTTTCTCCCGAGATGATTCCTGCAAGCCAGGCCTGCTGGCTTCCAGTTCCAGAGGTAGGCCTTGCTAGGCTCTGGGCTTCGAGCTGAAGCAGCCTGCCATCATCTTCAGAAGCTTGTGCACCAAAGGTGGATTTGGCCATCCACGTACTGCTGGCAGACGAAGCCGTCGAGGCGAGTGCTGTTCTGTGCAATGGCTCTCTGGCGCACTCTGTGGGTGCGCAGGTACTCCTACAAATCTGGCATGTACGCATGTGCGTCTGAATGCATATATGCATGTTTGTCTGGGAACTGGCAGCTAACAAGGCCGGTGGGTATCAAACAGCCATGAAATTTTAAAAGTGAATCCGCCAATGAAAAGTCCCATCCTGACCATTATACCTCAAAGTTGAGCAGCTGCCATTTCTTGCTCGCAAGGTGGCACCCCTGCCACCAGAGGAAGGGCTGTCGAAGGATCAGCCGATCGAGTTCGACGAGTTTGCGTTTTGGCATCAATTCAGGCGGATGATGTACTTCTCGATCCTATAAACTCTAGCCTTTAGCCCCATAGCCCAAGTAGCCATCGGATCCCGGGTGTCCCAGCCCAGCGAAGCCGAGAGCCACACGGGTGGCCGTATGGTTCCGATGGCATCTGAGGTCGAGCTTGCGGAAGCATGGCTGATTTGGGGGGGCCCTGGGAGCTCGACTCTACCCTCGTGACTCTCTCGCTGCGGATTTCGGAGTGCCTTTTCAGATTCTTCCGCAGCTCTATCTAAGCGATGCTTTTCCTGTTTGCTGTCAGAGGTGGAAGGTGAAGGCATTTGCGGCAGCAATTTTCATTGCTTCCATGGGGCTAGGAATGCGGAACAATCGTACGGTCAGGGCTTGTTTCCAAGGATCGAATGCGCGAGAGACTCATCTGGACTTCGAAGAAGTTCGCCGGATTTGGGGAAGCAGAGGCGGCCGTTCAGCCCTTCCGATCCAGAAGCATCCAAATGTACTCAAAGCAGGTACAACGGAAGTGTGATTCCGTAGAGTACCTGACTATAGCTGTAGTGTAACGCAACCCAAAACCCGGGTGAGCTACGATTAAGAGCTCCAAGTGACAACCATAAAGTCTTGGGTTCCAATATTAAAAGCTATGGAGGTAAGCAGCCTTTGCACCGTCACTCGTGCCTACGGTTTGAATGGGGTTAAGGGTTTGCCTCTCGGAGGTGAATGAAATCCGACAAATCTTCGACAGCTTCGACACAAAGCGAGCTGGCAGCCTGAAGCCCAACGAGGCCTCCTGACGAGAGCCTGGTTGATGGTCACATTTACAGAGAGCAGAGTAATCGTGTTCGTAAGGTTCATGAGCTTCAGGGATAGTAAGTCTACTAAACCAACACAACAAGCAGGCAAAAGACTGGGCAGTTTGGGATTTCGGTGGCAGATGCCTGGACAGTGGGATTCCTACAGGCACGACAGGTACTGCAGTCTAGAGTCCTCCCACGCAGGCGCAGAGATAGGACAAAAGTGGCACTGAAGAGTCGTTGTAGTACACATACGGAAGGGAACATGTTGTCAAAGGAGTTTACACAGGGGTGCAGGAGTTCAGTTTGCTTGGCCGTGGTCGTTTGTAGCGACGAAAGGTATGTCTGACTTTTCAGAGATGGTCTCGGCAAAGTAGGGTTTGGGATTTAAGGGTTGAGGTTTTGTAGGCTTGGTGGAGTCAGTGCAAGCCAACAGGGGCAAGAACAGAGACCGCACCGGAAGGGTTTCAGGGCATAGCCAAGACAACCAGCGCAGGTGGCAGCAACACCCCATTGACCGAAACATAGAAGATTTGAACTGTATCGCCAACGCACTTGTACCGCCCTTGAATCCAGAACCGCTTGCATCCGCTGAGACCCGTGGGATCGCTTAAAGTGGGTATCGGCATAAGGAACTCAGGGTTTCTTAGAGACCAGACCGCCCCCGCTGCAAAGCCGCCCCAGAATGTCCAACCTGGAGTCATCCTGTTGCCCGTTTTTCCTGGCTTGAACTCTGTGATTCTTCCTCCTCGGCACCAGCACTCCAGACAAAGAAGACCCTAGGACCCCTCTGAAGTGTTGCCTAAATTCCCGAACTCTCAAGCCCAAGCTCAACCCTGATGATGAACTTGATTGACTGCCTAAAGCCTAAACCCCAGACTCTAGCAGAGTTTCTTCTGGAGCTCCTGAGGCATCGGAGCTACTGAAGTCGCTGGGAATCGAAGTTCGAAGTGTGGAGGAGGGGAGCCGGGCGGTGTCTGGATCTCGCAACACGGTTTAGGGTATCCCCGTACAGGCCCCACATGGTCATGCCATCATAATCCCAATGTAGCTCCTTTCTGCTAATACCATCATATACCCACAAGCCCTATTCTAACGACTGCTAGTAATCATGACGCAGGCGTCCTGAGCGAGAGCTTTAAAATTGCTAGCTGTACGACGCACTTTCAGGATCCGTACAGTTTATGTGCCCATTGAATGCGAGCTCAGCTGCCCTGAGGAGCGCATCGCACTGTCAGAACAGCAGCTCTGACGGCAGAGAGGCTGACTTCTGTGCCAAGAGAAGAGTGGAACCTGTCCGATGTTGAGGCTCTGCTAGGCGTGGGCGATATTCGTCCCAAACCATTCTCTGCACAACTTTTTGCAGAAAAGCTTAGGATTACACAGATATTCCAAGCATGGCTGCAATGTCCGTCGAGTCTTCGGTTTTTGCCGGGCATTGAGCCAGTCGGTGTAAGTAGCTATGTCTATGTCTACAACTTGCATGCAAGACTGCACCTTCGCAGGTACATCCAGGTAGCAGCCACTGCAGTAGCCGGCTCTTACTATCTGACTACCCAGTTAGCTTGCGAGTGCATGGGAGAGTTGCGAGTGAGTTCCTTAGCTACTGATATGCTTATTCGTTGTCTGCATCCCGTCGTAAGTGCGATAGCAGTAAGTGCAGCAACGGCTTCAAGCCCCATGACCCTAAAACGCTCGATGCTCATAGCCAGTTAAACTCTGTCCCTTATGTTGGAATTCGCCCAGGATCGGCACAGCGTGCCAGGAAGCGCAGGAGGCAGGTGCCGAGGCGTGGAACATGCATGCTGTTGTTGGGACTAGTCGTGCGAATTCAAGTTAGACGTTTAACTTCCAAGGTTACGGCTTTGTTTGCAACTCTTAGGCACTTGGGGTTGATCCATTCGCGCGGTGGGTCTCCGATTGGGCTTGGTGAGTCGATGTCAAGGTTTTCGGGAGCTCGGGAGTCTCTTCACAAAATGAGGGTTTAGGGTGGTCACCAGTATGGCCAGCTACATGCAATACCAAGGGATGCAAATACCTCGTTACAGACTACAGCAGGGCTCTGAGCATTCCGAATGAAAAAAATTGCCTGAGAGCCCCAACACAGGAGCCTCAAAGCCGCTGTTTAAGCCAGAGACTTCGCCAGGCCGTGGTGGACGGCCAGGTCAACTTCTGGGTCTTCTTGCAGCTCTTCCGGGCCATGAAGCGGAAGCAGGTGAGGGGAAAGCCCAAAGCCCCACTTCCCGAACATCCCAAGCTTGCAGATCCCACATTTCTGGACTCCCTGGACTGGAATCTCGAAAGTCCCAGGTTCAGGCACTGTTTTGTGGTGCAGGATATGTTGCAACGTAAGCCCTGCTTGTTCAAGGTCAGGGTCTGAGTCTATGCATCTCATCGCCTCCCTCTGGTGCGCAGGATGAGGAGAAGGAAAGGCGGCTGATGTCAGTCTGCGAGGAGGTGAAATTCAACTCGCAGGAGCGGGGTTTTTTGGGGGTGCAGCCTTGAGGCCTATCAGGGTTTACATAGGGTTGCAGCTGGCGGTTTAGAGTTCGATCTCAGGTAGGAGGTTTGATGCTCAACAGGTCAAGTGAGGCATCTTCCGCCGCGGCGCCCTTGTGGCTCCGGTCGGTCGAGTGGGCGTAGGGTCATGGTTCAACGCTTCAAAGACTTGAACAAAGGGGAAGGTCTCCAGTCTCAGCGGGTGCTTTTGATTCAGAGCGGAACCGCCTGAAGTTCCTGAAGCACCCAATCCCACAAAGCCCAAAGACCTGCCAGGAAGTCAACCAGTTCCAGGAAGTGCCTCTCCGGAATGAGTCCTTAGTGCTATATTATAAGACTTCTCCGTGTTCTCATACTGTGCATTTCTTGCTCATTATCTCTCAGAGCCCACTCTGGTTGAGAAGGTGACCTCTTGCTTGCTCCGTGCTGAGACGTAAACAGGACGGCGAGGGACTTGTCATCAGAAGAGATGGTCCTAGTTAGCCGGGGGGTTTACAGAAAATGTGTTCACATCCTTTGGATTCAAGTCCTTAGCTTGCTACCAGCCACGTCTCCTCGAACCCACTGCACCGTCGGCTCGGATACATACTTGCAGACAGAACCATCCATGAAGTCGCATCCCGCAAAGCGAAACGATCTTTTCTAGCAGCAGCAGCCGCCTTCAGGCATGAGTCACAATTACATGAATTCCCTGCACACTTTGCAAGTAACACAGCTAGTACAAGACATGCCATCACAGAAGTGCACACTGCCCGCGACTAGCTTGCCCAAGAGATAGAGTCACATGCTTGATGGTGCTGGCTACCGAATTCTGTCGTTCGGACTTTACCATCACCGGATTTCACTAGTCTATCTACGACATGATTGAACTGAGTGAAATGAACGCTTGATGCTTTTATGGTTATACTGCTAACTAACGATGAAGATGACGATGATGACCATTGTGGTGATCGTGAGTGGTGACCACTGCCGCTGCTACCGCCACCACCTCTGCCACTGTTGGCTGCTGCTGCTGCTGCCGCTGGCGGTAGCGGTGGCGGTGGTGGTGGGCACTGCGGGCGGTGTCTACCGCGGGGAGTGGTCGTCGATCAGCATGAACTCGCAGAATGACGTCGTGTCGTCTGCTTGGACGAAGTGGTTGTGAGTGGTACCGCGATGCCACCGATCACGATTTCCCTCCATGGAGACCAAATCATCGCACCATCCCTAATCCCGATTCCAATTCTGATTCCACTCTTCTTAATGAATCTTCTGTTGGTCAGTCACTGCCGACACTTGTCCTTTCAGTCCTTTGCATCCTTCTCTTTTTCTTGCCTTTGTGCATTCCTTGTGTGTGCCTTTTCCTTCGTACGACCTTTTCCAACTGCCCCTTTTCCTGGGCATACTCATGTTGCTGATGATGTAGCTTTGATGATGAGGAACAAGATCCCAATCATGAAGATGATTTGCACGAGGTTGAAGATTTAGATGAGAACTAAGATGACAGAGGAGTGATGACAGTAGCTATGAGTCCTGCCACTTAATTCATGGGCAGGTGCCCCGAAAGCAAAAGCAGCGTGCAAACAGCTCGTATTGGTAACGACAAAGATGCCCAGAATCGAAGGTGAGTTACCGGACTTCCTACTAGCAGATCCGTACGTCTGCAGGTCTTCGAGCAGTGCTGGTCCTCCCTCTACACGGACGGAGTGACTTCAGACACGAAGCAGATACCAAGGAGAGCTTTGGTAGCTGTGACGTTGCAACCTGCAGGAACTTGAAATGCTTCGCTGCTTTGCTGAGACGCTGTCATGCCCCCTCTTATGTAGGTGGTTCAGAGCATAGAGACGCTAAGTAGCATGAGCAGAAGCCTTACTCTCAGGACGGTACCGAAGGAAGCCTTGGGGAGATCGGCGCTTTCAACGAAGAAGGTCCAAGACCCCGAATCCTAAATCTCGTCAGGACAGCCGTGTACAAGCTCTTCAGCAGCACGGCTGCCGTCGAGCATACTCTTCGCTGTCGGTTTGCTTGTTCGCGTTTTGATTTGCGCTGGTTCGGAGGAGTGCTCAGCTGAAAGGTTTCTTGGGCAACTAAGAGACGGCTCTTGAGAAGAATCAACAAACCAAGACCGGCAACCACCCCGAAATGCTTGAAACGCTCAGGAAACATGGGCATGCGCCTCGAAGGACTGGCGAGGGGTAAAGAGTCGAAGGCTTTCAAACGAGGATCTCAAGATGCCAAGTAAGTGGGCGAGACGCTCATGCTCCGAGGGCTTAGTTACCTCCAGATCATGACCCAACAACAACACCTTGCGCCAGGACGAAACCGACAAGCCTTGGACGATCAGCTCAATGCCTTGCAAGCACAGAAGGGGCATCTTGCCAGACAGGGGGGGGGGGGGGGGGGGTTGCCATGCAGGAGTTGCTCTGTGAGATGGGCATGACCCAGAACCGAAGCCCCTCCCCCACCATGGCAAGGATAGACTTTCCGAACTTTCTGCTGCTCATGCGGTGGATGCTGGACGTCGACTTCTGCAGCATCTCATCATCGAAGCAGCCGGGAACGTGAGCGCAGGGGGCGTTCGCGGTTGGCGGGCGGGACTACGGCAAGACTACGGCATTGTTTTCCGTTGAAGATGAGAGGCACACGTACCTGTGTCAACCTCAGATGGTCATGCTGATAGGCTTACGCAGCGTAGGACGGTATGCAACGCACCGCAATCCTGCTAGCCACAGCGAAGCGCCTCATGAAGTTGCCTTTCGGCCGTCGCAGGCCACTGTAAATACGCGTGTTTGCTGCATCTCTCATGCGCAGACATGCGGGAGACTCACTGTCTGGGTTCAGTCTGGATAAACACATCTACAATGCAACTCTTTTCAGCCCAAACCGTTTGTTTGGTCTGACCCTAACACAAGCAGGCAAGGCCAACCGACAGATGGACACAAACATGCTGTCAGTCCTCAACACAGTTTGCAGGACGAATGATACCGTAATGTGGCACACAGCAGCATCAAAATGTGTGTGTGTGTGTTTTTTTCGGCCTCAGGCAAGTAGAAATTTATGCAGCCTATCTAGCAATCTATTTGAGGTTCACACCACAATGATTTGTTGATCCATGCGCCTGATAAGGCAGTGGCTCTCTTGACGCACTGATAGCAAATCATGCCCAACCTTGATCCAGCTTGGAGCATAGTCTCGGCTTTAGTGACTCGACCCTGGTGCTTCTAGTATCTGCTCAGTATGCTGCCGGCCACCAGCCCTCTCCGACTAGCGGAGAGTGGACTTGGTTTTTGCCAGTTCTCCATGCGAGGTAGATTGTGAGGTTCAGGTGCTGTATCATAGCCGCCTTTGCAACTGCAGTCCTACCATGCTTTGTCAACAGAGACCAAGATTCATGGAAGAGGAGTTATGTAAGCAGGCCCTAATCTGTGTGACTGTTGACTATCACGCTTGGTCAACCTCAGGTAGAGGGATCCGCCAACAATGACCCGCATGGCTCCTTCTATGTAGCATGAAGACGTTATGCAATTCCTACGCAGGCATGCATCTTCGAAGCCAGGTATACATTGGACCGGGTCGGTGCAGCTAAGCTGAGTCGTCCGAGAAAGACAGTACCCTAAATTTGGAGCAGCTGGGATTCGCCGGAGCAGCCGTGCCCTCCGACAAAGACATGGAGGCGCCCGTTGATGTTGATTTTTAAGGTGCCAAACCTGACCGGAGAGCCCGCGGGGGGCTCTCCGGAAGCTAGGTCTGCTATGTCAATCACAAAACAATACGCAGCAGCAGCAGCAGCGACAAGAAACATGCCAAGAGCAACAGAAACAGAAACTCCAGCAGAAGAAGGAGGCCTGCCACAGGCCAAGTTGTAAGCTCGCTTGCCGCCGGTTGCTTGCGAGCTTGTTTGTTGTCGCACCCCAACTCCATGCAACGGCCAAGCCGTAGCATGGTGCTGGGCCAGGTGACCATATCACCAAAAAGACGCCACAACATGCAAGCATATGCCGATGGAAGCCATGATTCGGGCAGTACTGACGTCTTGGAAGTCATGCTGCTGCAAGGTTTTCATCGCTTCCCCACGGAGGCAGTAGGATCCATGATGTGCTGCTAGCAGCTAGCATTTGGGTGCAAGCAGCATAGCCATGGTACACACCTCAACTCACGAGATACAGGACCTAGTCAGCGCGGCTCTGCGGGTCTTGGGTTTTCGTAGTCTGTTCTTAGAATGCCATGGCCTGGACAGCGCGGTGCGCAGAAGCGGGCGCCATGAACCTACAATCCAATAGGTCTTGCGAACTTAACCTAAAGTCGAGCCAGTAACAAGAGCTGATCATCGCGGCAGCGGTCGCGAAAGTGGAATGGCAGATGCAGATTGACCGTCGCAAAAAGCAACAGCAATGATGACTAGCATCGTCGCCGTCATAAACATCATCGCAACTGCACTGGATGCTCTTGTTTTGGCAGCTAGGCATCATCACCGGTCTTCAGTTGATCGCAGACGAGCATTACCCGAGCTTTAGGCTTCATCCTCATGGCGACGGTGGTTACTGCTATAGGAATCACTGTCTCTATTGCTGCATGAGACTACGCCTGTTACACTTGCTGGTGGCCTTGGTTCTTGCCATCAACCGTATTCGTCCATACTGTAAGTATCAGTGTTTTCTGATTGTCATCATCCGTGTGTCTCCCAAGGCCAGGAATCGAGAAGCTCAGCGCAAGGGACAGCGGCCGAAGAGGAGGCCAGGGATGATGGGCTTGGGTTTTGAATCCTGTAGAAGGAACTGGGGGGTCTAGGCTTCGGGAGGAGGGGGGGGGGCTTCACGTGTGGATTTGGAGTTTAGGGATTGGGTTCTTTGTTCTGCTTCCGGATGCTTTGGCTGTGGCACTTGCCATTTCGTTCTTTCGGTAGCTTCCATCATTGGGAATGCGGCTCGCCGAGGACCAAGACGGCTCAAAATGATACAACACAACATCCGCACCATTAACACGCAACAGCCCGCCATTAATTCCCAAAGTCCTAAGGTCAAGACCCGTAAATCCCGAAATGCCACATCCCAAAACACTAAGCCCAATCTGAGCCTGCAAAACCCAACCAGCCCAAAACTCCAAAGCCTAAACCTTGGAATCCTTAGACTCCCCCCAAGAGCATGCAGAGAGCCAGGGAAGAGCCAGCCTTCGTGGCAGCCTGGGAGGACCGATTTCGCACGGATCCCGAAGTCTTGATTACACAGGGGTTTAGGGTCCGGGGTGTTGGGTTTAGGTTTGAGGGATCAAGATATTTGGCACTAGTATTCCGTGAAAAAGGCCTTCGTTCCTAGTAAATTATGTACAATGTACAGGTTATTGGGCAACTCAAAAACCGAGCTCCTCATTTTGCTCCTCATGAAGGCTCGTGAAAAGATGGTGCAGGTTTCGGGGGTTGTCACTCGCACTGACCTTCGCCAGGCCTCTTTGAGTTTCACTTGAAGCCAAAATGCTTCGGACCGCACTGCTTGCACGGTGTGATCGTGTTTAGAGCTAGTGTGCGCGAAACCGACCTCCTTAACAAGAGCCCGGAGTAGGGAGTCACAAGCGTCGACCCTAAGCGAGCAGTGGCTTTTTCCTCGCCGTCCCCATCATGCGTGTCAACCTGAGCTTCAGCATCATTGACTTCTCCATATTTGACGATAGCCATGACGATCGGGATGATGATGATGGTGATGGTGATAGGGATGCTGTGGTGATGAGTTTCTGGTAGGCAGGAAGCAGCTTCCCTGAAGTTACTGCCTTCATGAAGGATGTTTGCTGCTTGATCGGAGTCATTAACAGGGCTGCGCAAGCGCTGAAAGCTGAAAATCCCGCACCTCGAACACCAGCCCGAGGTCATGTTCTTTCTATTCGCGCTGCTCCTGGCCACGGTGGGCGCCGGCATGCACGATAGGAAAGCCATCACGACCGCGACCACCAGTTGCGCCATCAACAGCACCGTGCAAACAGTCAAGGTGTAGGTTTTCAGATTAGGTTGGGTTTAGTGTTGTCACCATCGCCATCATCCATCATCGTCATCATCATCATCATCATCACAGTCACGACCATGACGATCGCCTTCACGGCTGATCATCCGAACAGTACGGGCGATAGATACTCCAAACAGCAGCAACAGCACAGGCAATAAATAGAAGTCGCTTCGCCACTCTGGGACTCTGGGTGGTTTGTCGGCTTTGCAACGAAGTAACACTGGAGTTTGTTGAGCTCTCCCCCTACAGGCCTTCGCGAGCCCAACAACAGAGCTTTTCGGGATGAAGGGCCTTTGACCACGAAGTTTTGGCCCTCTCGAGCCCCGTGCTGAAAGAGAGACCGTAGATATAGATATGACTACCGGTAGGCATACCATTTCATTTTACTACAGAAACCATAAACAACCCCGTGAGCTTGGTACATAGACCCCATTAAACCCCGAAGAACCCATTGGACACTGCATAATGAAAAGCACACCACGTCACCTCCCGAAACCCTACGTAAACCTACAGGTCACCTCCTTTATCAGCCTGCACATTGTCCTGGCTGGGGTCGAGAAGGCTTCCGCCCCTACACCGAGGCTGGCGCTTGCTCTGGGTGTCGTCAACCGGCGGTTATGATTTCGTAGTTCTGCCTTCATAGTAGCTGCGTTCTTATTTTAAGCATTTTAAGCCAAGACTGTAGAAGTATGTTGCTAGATATTGGATGAACTTCCCCATTGGCTGAAGTATGTGGGGATGGGCGCCTGGCCCGTGACCTCATTGCCGATCAAGAGTCTACCATATGCAGTGTTCCAGACCCAACATCCTCTTGAAACTTCTGCTGTGCCTCAGGCGACTGAAGAGCTTTGCCAGCCAACTTCTGGCACGGGTCGACCTCTCAATATGGCCCTCCATCAGGATGAACCGGCTTCTTTCACCTTTCGTCCATGTGTTGTTCGAGGCGACTGGGATGTCAATCTCCTCCACTACGGCTGCTGGTGGTCTGACAAGCGGGGTCGCCACAGGCCTCCCCCAAGCTTCATCCATCGCGCCGGGCAAGGCGATGGAGGCGGGTCAGTAGTTATGCATGAGCACGCAGAGTGCAAAATTGGTGCGCAGGTTCGGACCCCATCGAACACTGGAAGCTACCATGTCGGCCTTCCGCCGGCGGTTCCGAGGAGGTCAGCTTCTTCACCACAGAGCAGAGGCCAAGAAGAGGCACCTTTGAACCATGGACCGCTCACAAACTTGATCCGCGAGAGAGAGCGTTCCCCTGGTCTGTTTCAGGCGCGAGACACTGGGAAGACCCATGCTGGCCTTCCCAAGGCGATCGTCAAGAGAGCTTCTCCTGCCCCACCAGGATCCGAGGCAAGCAAAGGGTGCAATGGTCGGTCCGCAGGCTTCAAGCTCTGACACCTGTTCCAGCAGGCAGCTCGGACGTCTCCGTCCCCGCACGTTGGCCTTCCAAAAGCTGTGCCGAAAAGCCCACAGAGTCCAGCGGTGCAACAAGAGAGAGGCCGCCAGCAGCCACAGGCCCGGTCTCGTGTCGTGTTGCCAAGGGGCGTGTTGAAGCAGTCATGTATAGGCATAAGCCATCCAGAAACAGCTTCACTGAAGATCGGTGTGCGCATTCCTGTTGCAGGCTGCCGCGCCCACTGGGCCGAAGGATGCTGGCCTCCCACAGGCTTTTACGGTCGTAGGGCTTCGGTATTGGGGTTTAGCAAGCCGAAGTGAAGAAGGGGCAGACCGCTGCCTTTGACATGCGCCCCTCTCGCCCATCGGGTCTAATCATGCTGGATATCTTGACAAACCCGAAACCCCCCGGTTTCGGCATTTAGCACAGGTATACTCCCCAAGACGCACAAGCCTTCGCAAGTGTGTCTCTGACCTTTCCTATGGAGGCTGTGCCGAAAAGCAGCATTCCGGGGCGGCCGGTGCAGGCGCGAACTTGAGACCGACGGTCATGATACTCATGATGATTGTGGGGATGAGGAGGCGGATGATGATGATGGTGGGAAGGAGAGCCTAGAGGGACTTCCTGTTCGGTCGAGGGACGAGTGTCCTCAGAGCGGAGACCGGAGGTGTCTGTGGACTCCGCAATTGAGCACCATGAGGTAGTCCGGAGCGTCCAAGAACGCCCTGGGGGCCTTCCGCAGGCGGTGCCGCAGCTGGGCTTCCAATCTTCTTGGACGTTTCCATGTTTGGAGACGATAGACGGTAATACATAATATATGTCATTGCATATGATATAACGGCAGATCGCAGTTTCTGCAACGGCATCTCGTGTACCGGGAAGTTCTAGGACAGCGGGTTGGGCCGTGGAGTTGAGACCGGTCGCGACTCCAAGGCAGCCCCAAGAGAACCGTGGGCTTCGAGGAAGACCACCAACGAATGCGCAGGCAACGGTTTAATCTGCTTTCAGCTTCATGTGCTACACGAGCAAGCACAGCTTTGTTTACCTCCCCCCAAAAAAAGGAGATGGCATCCCCAATTTTAGGTCGTTTCGAAATCGCCTCCGCCTTCGTACTTTACGCTCCTGGGAGTTGGCAATCTGACAAATCACGGGCTGCTGAACTTGCGGGGAAGCATTTTGGATCTACGACCACTCCGGGATCTGTGCCTCTGAAAGAATCTGACCACTCAGAGCACGCGCCCTCATGTCGATGCATTACAATCTAGATGTCCCAATAAAACACTCCAACGTAAAACACGTGTAGTCAGCTTGCTGGTCTTCTTCATTCAATACCAGCTCTAGTTCGCCCTAAGAGTATCTTTCTTCTGCATAATTATTGTTGCTGTTGGGACTCCTTCTGGCCATGGTTGCCCCTAAATGGCCTGCCGTCTTTAGAAGCAATCGTTGCGTGGAGTGAGACGTAAGAAACATCACGGCTCTTCACCCACTACAGGTATTTTGAGACAAAGGGTATGATGACTATACTTGCGCTTACCCATCTTGCCCTCAGCCCGGGCAATACTCTCGAGCAAACGAAATAGAGAATGTCAGAACGCCAGTGTGCGAGTGTGCGCCACCATCCATTCCCTGCTCCCTCGCGGCTTAGTTGCACAGTTTTGGCGTTCTGTTTGTCGTGGTCCTTTTAGAGAGTACCGGGCCCAAAACCTGATGTTTGTTGGGCACAGTCTTCGCCTGATTTTGCGACTGAGGGTTGCGAGTTGTTACGACTAGCTGCCCTGCCTGCAACCCTGAGCGCAAGCAGCCATGATATTCCGAGCAGGCCCTAAACTTCTTAGATGTGCACATCCCTAAATTCACCTGAAACCCTCGGCGGGGGCTCTAAACAGCTCTCAATTCACTTTATCACCTTCAAACAGCATCCGTCATCCTGTGGCCCTACTTATAAGATCTTATAAGTATGGTACGCTTTTCTGGGTGCTAACAACACTCCGCCAGGAACAGCGGCCGCGGGCCCCGCCTCCGCCCCAACATCCGGGAACCCAGGCAGGGCCGGTTGTTGGTCCGGGTTTAGGGCTTAGGGTTTAGGTGCAGCAGCCTATACAGCCGAGGTAAACTCGCAGCAATTCCACTTCGTAGAGCGGGGCAGCGAGATGGCTTGCAAAGCCCGAGGCTTCCGCAGCGCCAGCCCCGCCACTGCCTGCACCCCAATGTGGGGAGGCGAGTTGTGCGGAGTCAGGTGAGGAATGGTACAGCCCTCTTTTTCGTAAAGTTCCAAACACAGCTTTGAAACCCACAGCCACGACTCCTTCACAGTGCCACCTGTCAGGCGGAAGCACGGCAGGCGGCTCGAAAGGCTGGTTGCGGTGTTGCTATGAATAACTCAGACGGATTAATCAGCTTGCATGGACGTTCTTGTTTGAGTTCTTCTCGAGAGTCAGGTTCCAACTCAGCATCTCCTTCTAAGGACATCAAGCCTGAATTCTGTGTAGACCGCTGTTAGCCTCTGTTCGACCGCGGAAACAAAGGCGTTCCATCCTTTTTTGCAGCAATCGGTGCTCTGAAGTACTGGCACTCGCCGTTTCCGGGAGCAGCTCCGCGTGAGATCCTTCAATGCAGACTTTGCAGGGGAGAAGCAGGGGAGGAGAGGAAGGAGCGGGAAGAACGATAGCACCAAGCAGAACAGGAACTAGGAGCAAGGAGAAAGAAAGAGCCAGGCAGGACAGGCAAAGAAGTAGGTGTGGGAAGACCGCAAGCAATCAGAACAAGGTGCAGACCCTGCCCAATGCAGGAATGTCAGTTCAGCCAGGGCCAAGGACACCTCCCAGTAGACTGAGGATGAAGGTTCTAAGTTTAGAGCTAAACGGGTCCGACAAGTCCCTAAACACTTCATCACCACGGCACCCGTGTCGAAAGGCGCGAGCCAAGCTGGAGGGCCATTCCCAAGCACAGGTGCCCTCACTTTTCAGGTTTTTTTTTTTTTTTTTTTTGGG